AAGAGGCAATTTCATCACTGAGATCCCATAACAAAAAGCTTGTGCCTCTGCTTCCTTAGGTATAAAATGGGAATTGCGTCGGTAACACCTCACGAGGTCACTGTGGAGACTGAATAGAGAGAACCTGCAAGGTGCATGGTAAGCGGGGGCCATAGTTTTCATCATTCTCCCTCCACTGTTTTCTGACCTCCTCTTTCTGGCTCCGTTGCCAGCCTCAGGCCTTTGAGGTCACCTTGCTGCCACCTGCTGCTGGGGGCATGGCTTCGACCTTGTGCTCTCTGAGACTGTCTCCCCCTGGCCCAGATTCCACCTTGGTAGTAAATAGTCACTGCCTGCCCTGGAGCGCCTCCTGCATGCCGCAGGGTGCTGAGCCTTTCCTAAAGGGCCCCCCACGCCCCCGGCGGGGGGATGTAGTGGGACCATTTTGTGAGGAGCTGCGGAGAGCTCAAGAGACCTGCCCAGGTCACACAGTAAGTAGCAGAATCAAAACTGGTTTGAACTCAGGTGTCTCTTTGGTATCTTACAATTTTTGTCCTGGCCAGAATTTTCCTTAGGTCAGAACTCCCTTCCTTGTTCCCACTTGCCTTTCTTAGTATGGATGACTTAAATTCTAATTTAAAAGATACTGCTTTAAAAAAAAGTCCAGGCCAGGGATTTCCAGGTGGTTTCTATAATGGGTCTTATTGATCAGAAAGCTCCCCACTTCCTTCCTGTGTGTGAGTGTGTTGGGGATTGAACCCAGGGCCTTGTACATATGTGCTAAGCATGCTCCCTAACACTGGACTACAGCTCTGACTCATTTTGTTCTTATGGATGATAACATGAGGTAGAGCTTGCACCTTCAAAAATATGGGGTTATTGGGCTGGGGATGTGGCTCAAGCGGTAGCGCGCTCGCCTGGCATGCGTGTGGCCCGGGTTCGATCCTCAGCACCACATACAAAGATGTTGTATCCGCCGAAAACTAAAAAATAAACATTAAAAAAATTCTCTCTTTAAAAAAAAAAAAATATGGGGTTATATATAGCCAGGTGGGGTGGCTCAATCCTATAACCCCAGCAACTTGGGAGGCTGAGACAGGAGGATTATAAGTTCAAGGCCAGCCTCAGCAACTTAGCAAGACTGTCTCTGAATAAAAAATGAAAGGGGCCAAGGATGCATCTCAGTGGTAAAATACCCCTGGGTTCAATCCCTCAAAAAATGGGGTTTTATCTAAAGGGGAAAAAAATGAGATTATTTTTTTGATCTGATGTACACCATTGACAAGCCAAGCTCTAGGCACTGCATAATTACGTCATGCCAGTGACAAAACTGGCATTAACAGCCGGGACTCTGGGCATCTGAGGAAGGCAGACAGCCCGGGCATACCTCCAATCTCCTTCAAGTTTGCCAGTCCCAGAGCAGCTCACAACTCTAACAGTAGCAATTTAGCAAAAGAAATTGTCCTCCCACAGAACTCAGTGGACCCAAATGTGGCTCCCAGATTGACCACACAGCCAATCTCAGGAATGCTTGGGGACACTTAAATAGTCAAGGGTTCTGGCCCACCTGGCCTCCAAGCTTAGGCCAGTTCCCTCCTACCTCCCTCCCTCTTTCCTTTCTGGCCTCAGGAGTGGTCCTTTCCCCAGCCCATCTTTCAGTTGAGACAGCCCCTGCTGTCTTCCTGACATGCCGGCAGCCAGAAGAGCCACCCATTCTCATCCCAACATCTGACTCCAGAGACAGCACACCAGCCCCCTCAGGGCTCCAAGTGGGCTGTTCTCTGCAGATGCTCTAGATGTCTGTCAGGCTCACGCTGCCTTCCCTTCTGTGAGAACTCTCTGCACCTCACAGCTTAGATAGGGTGCTCCCAGAAAGACCCCAGGCCAGAAGTAGGACTGGCAAGTCCCGAGATGAGCAGGCCAAGGGAGATGAGCAGGCCAAGGGAGAACGGGGCCACCATCTGTGACAGACGCTCAATGCTCTCAAGATGATCCAGTCTGTTCCTGCGCAGGCCCGACTGTTGCTCTTGCTCAGGCCTGACTGAAACCCTATCTTTCTTTCCATCTTATGAATACTTCAGAGGGATCCTAACAGATTTTCCTTTTGAAACAAATTGTACATGTATTTTATAATTATAATGATAATTATCATTATTATAACATAATTATCATAGCATGATAATATGGTTGTCACTATTATTATTATTATTTTGCTTATACTGGTCAAAGTTGGTTTCAGTTGGGGTACAAATAACCTCTCCCAGTATAGCCAACTGAATAATAAATGTGCTGGGAATAACTAGGTTCACTTGAAGAGGGTTCAAGTGATACCTGCTATGCAGTACATGCCCTAAGTGACCTATGGCAGTCCCCCCTTATCTGCCAAGGATATGCTCCAAGACCTTCAGGAACTGCAACCTATATATACCAAGTTTTTACTGTGCATACATACCTATGATAGTTTAGTTTGTAAATTATGCACAGTAAGGGATTATCAATAGCTAACAATGGAACAATTATAACAATATATTATAATCAAAGTTATGTGGCTGTGGCTGCTCTTTCCCCATCCACAGGGTGGGTAGTGCATACAGTGTGGATACGCTGGGCAAAGGGACGATTCATTCTGGGAAAGAGGAAGGTGATTTTAGATGATGCTACAATGTACAATTTCTGAATTTTTTATTTTTATAATTTTCCATTAATATTTTTGGATTATGATTGACCATAGGTAAGTAAAATCCCCAAAAGTAAAGCCAGAGATTAAGATGAACTGCTGTCTACTAATGCTTTCTAAGTAGTCTTGGGACACCATGCTTTCCCACCTCACTCCTACTGAATCAGTAAGCCATTCAAACCCTCTTCAGAAGTGAAGAGCAAAACAAAACTTAGATAAAAAGATGATCAGATTAAAACAACAAGCTGGAAAAATATATAGTTGCATTTTTCTGATATTCAAAAATATCCTTAATCTATAAAAATAAGCAAAGATGAAAAATCCCAAAAGGAAAAATATATGTAGCCAATATGTGAAAATTCTGTTAACAATAACAACAAAACATATTAAAATCAGATTTTTGCCTAACAGTCTATTTTTGGTACGAATGCCAAAGATGGCTTCTTCTGCCCCCTGCTGGTAGGAATGTGAAGTATACCGTTTCTGGAGCTTGTCTGAAAATACTGATCAAAAACCTTTACAAAGTTCACATCTTTGAACTTGTAATTCCAAATCTATAGCTTTTTATGCGATAAATAATTTAAGCTATGCATAAAGAGAGTCACCTGTTTCATTTCATTTTTATGCAATTGAGTTTTTTGAAACTGTTTATCTCTGGCGTGAAGGACAGTATACCAAGTGATATACATTAGCATTTACTGAGCACTTTTCATGCCACATTTTTCTGAGCTTTTCATGTCTGAACTCATTCCTGGGGTTGCTTGCAATCCAGCTGGGGATCACTGTGGCAGCTACGCAGCGCCACGAAAGAACAGGGCTGTATTAATTTGGTCTCAAGGTGGCAAGTAACAGAAAATCACTTAACATTTGTTTGGGAGGAGGAGGGATGTTATAAAAATCTGTGAACTTTCAGCAGATATTTTCTGAGAGGTTTCCAGGGCTGGCATTGGCCTAAGCACTTTGTATGTACTGCTTTTAACCTTTACTCAATCCTCTGAGGAAGGTATGTTCCAAGCCCCATGCTGCTGGTGAGGAAGCTAAGGCAAAAGAGAGCATAGGTTTGGAACAGTCAATAATGACAGGACCAGGAACGTGCAGCCCAGCAAGGGACGCAGAGCTCATGCTCTTACCTGGCTGAGTAGGGTTGAGTGTGATGCAGGAGTGGGAACAGTGTCACCAAGACCCTGTCACTGGCTTCTCAGAGCTCCCTGCATAGGTGGGCTCCCCACCTGTGTCCAGAGTGGCCCTCCTGGTCCACCAGACCAAAGCAGCAGAGAAGGTTGTATTGGTAACCAGCCAAAGTCTCAGGGAATGAGAGTTCAGGTTTGGGTTATGTGCCCTCCTGTAAGACAGAGAACTGAGCATAGAGGAGGAAAAGTGGCTTCTCGGGGGAAGGAATACTGGGTGGACATATGTATATCCGTAATAAACACCAGCTAGCCTTCATGGAGGGCCAAGGGGGAAGCAGGGAGTGCAGTTCCTCTGATGTGCCAGTGTTTGCAAGGCACTGGGGACATCCTAACACAGTCAACTGGGAGACGACGATAGGACAGTAGGATATTTTCCTACCAAAGGAAATTGACAATAAGGCTTGATAATTTCTGGATGAGTGCATGAACAGAGCAGCTTGAGTCCAGGGACAAGGGAATACCTATTAGGAAACAAGTGGGTTCCGGATCTTGGAGGCCTGGAAAGCAAGTGAAAGAGCTGCGAATGGAGGCACACTCCACACCAGGCACAGAGCAGTCTGTACATGTCTGTCCTCACGCTGGTACCTGCCACTTCACAGATGAGGAAACGAATGCTTAGAACAATGAAATAAGCTGCCCAAGAACCCATGGGGATAAAGAGAGGATTCAATGGTCTATAAACACCTTGGATTTACCCATGTTGCTAAGGCAAGGTCAGCAAAGTTCATAGTCAAATTCAATTTTTCCCCACAAATAATCCACATTAAAAAATGAAAATTTCTTCATTGGTAGCAATCTGATATCACATGGCTATAATTAAGGTGCCACAATACATACACTGAAGAACTGACTTAATGGACCCCAACAAAGAAGATGTGGGCATTAACAATTGGATTTTTTCCAATCTGCTTTTAAGTACCATGAATATGGTGTGCAAATAATGCCATTTAAAATATCAGGTGGGGAAACACAGGAAGGATTTCAGATCCAAATAGAAAGGCCCTAAAACCACCAAACAGGAAACCTAATCTGACCTGAGCATATTATGTATGGAAACCCTGGAATTGCTGAGATGCTCCTGGGACTACTTGGTTACAAGAGAGACCCAGCTCTGACCTTTTTTTTTTTGAGGAGACAATCAACAGAAGGCTGTATTTGATGGAAAGAATTTATTTCCTGTTAACAAGACTTCTAACCTTGAATAAGAGAAAGAAAGAAGGAAAGGCGAAGAAGAGATGAATCTAGTTCTTTAGGAGTTTGGAATTTAAAGAGAGAAAAAAAAACAGGAAAAAAAAAAGGTATTGTTTAGAAAAGCTGTATGATCTTCCTAGCTATTGAATCCTTGCTCCAAAGAGTAAAGAAAGACTGAAGAAATAACAAGAATAAATTGATAGAAACTCCTTTTCTTTTAAGAAATACAACATAGAGAAGATATTAAAGAATGCCCACTAATTCAAATTTTACTTTGCACGCAGGTGCTCAGTAAAAGTTTGAATGGTTAAGCATAAAAATTCTCAGCATACAACTCAGAGGAAAAGGGTGGGAGAATAATGAACAGGATTATTAAGAAAAAGTTGTGAACTAGCAACATGGTTTATGGGTGTTGAGTGGTGGGAAAGGGCAGTTTTCTGGGAAAAATTATTTAATTCCACAGTAAGGATGGAAAAATTTTTCCCAAGCAGGAAGAAGGGAGCTAAGAGGCACCAAAGACTGGTGCTCCAAACCCCACGATGATTCCACAGGCAGGTGTAATCCCCATGGAGCAGAAGAGGAAACAGGCCGAGATGCTCACTGCTTGCCCAAGGCCATTGAACTGGTCAGAATGTCACCAGATTCAATGGGTCCACCTCTTAGTGGGAATCAAACTGGAACAGAACACCAAACATGGCTGTCACACAGAGGAAAACTTATTTGCAGCAAATAAGGAGACCGTGGGGAATCGCCCACAGAGGCCAGGCCAGCCGGGTGCAGTTTGCTTGGGCAGGGAATGCGAGTGCAAGAGGGGCAGAGGCACCTTGGTCTGCACCTGCAGGAAGATCCTGGGCTGGCATCTAGCAGCACTTTTCATGTTATGCAAATGAGGCTTTAGTTTTTCCGGGTGGAGATTCTAATATTGAAACGAAGTAAAGCTAGCCTCTTGGTCACTGACCCATGCTCCTTAGGGTAGCTTGAGGAACATGACTTCTGAAACACAACTTTGAGGAGTTGTTCTTCGTTAGAACAACTTTGTCCTGGGGCTGAACGGTTCAGTCTGCACCCGGCTTTCGCAGGCCCCTGGCTGGGGGACAGCTGCTTCCTGACTCCTCAGCGTGCAGTCCAGGGTCCTTTCCTTCTCCTGGGGCTGCCCTCAACCCTCTCAGGTCCAGCAGGGAGATTCCTGGAGAGGAGGAGAGGAAAGGGGGGGGGGGGGGCGGAGAGAGTGTGAGTGTGTGTGTGTGTGTTGGGGGCGCGGTGGGCGGGGGGACATTGAGAGTCTGGGCACTGGCGGGTCAGGGAAGGTGCCACATCTGTCTCGCGTACCCGCGGCAGCGATAAGCTTGGTCCTTCGGGGTTTCCGTTGATCCACGCAAACCCGGGAAACTAGTCGTTTAGACACCAGAAAAGAGCAGTACTGATTTAAAATTCAAACCACGCCGGCGGATTTGGGCGCAGACGCGAGAACGCCAACTTCACCTTAGCCTCCAACCAGCGAAAACTGCAACAGCCCACAACCTCCACGCCTGACTTCGGGAAGCCTCGCCACCCGCGTGAGCGCCGGAAGTGCTTCGACGTCACTTCCGCCGCGTTCGGGCGCCAACATGGACGTCGCGCAGGCCCGCGAGCAGCTGCGGCGGCGTTACCTGGTACCGCGGGACGCCGAGACCCGGCTGGACTGCGAAGGCGACGCGGCGGGGGGTGAGCTCCGCGCTCTACCTCACTCGTGCTCGCGGAGTTAGAGTCGTGGACGCTCCGCGGCTTCCGGTGGTTCCCGCGCGTCCTCCCCTCACAGCGCGGCAGGATGCCCTAGAACCCTTTCCGGAAATACCCGTTAAAATTAAAATCACCCTCAGGTTCCGTCTTAGTCTTAGGAATTCACCAGGGAATCGTCCTGATCCGGTACACAGGGCCGCGTGTGCTAGCGGTTCCCCTCGTGGCTGCTCGTCGCAGGCGGCGGAGGGAATGTCCTCGGTGGCCCGTGGCCGTAGCATCGGTACCCGGTGGATGACATGCCAGGGGAAGCGCCGGTGTGCCACCAGGTGGTACAAAACGGGCCACCTGTGGCGCCTGTGAGGACGCGGAGGAGTGCAGTAGGAGGAGTGCGTGGTGGTGGTGTGGCCAGGCCGGGGGTGAGGGTGGGAGGCCGGGTGGTGTGGACCTGGTCATCCTCTGTATTGTAGAGCTGCCCGCTCGTTAGCTTTTGGAAACGAGCGCAGACCCCATCGTGCCCAGGCATGACTTAAGAGTTTTGAGGGTCTGTATTCATGACCAGTCCCCCTGCCCAGGACTGCCCGCAGTCTCACCCACAGCGGCCTCAGGAGAGCTTGGTGTTAGAGTCACCCTTGGGTTTGGTTCCAAGATGGGAGAAGTCGCTTGTCTTTTACCTGTTGGGACAGTGATGTGCTGGGACTAGAGCTCTGGTGTAATCTTTTTCATGGTTGAGCTGCCTCAAAAGGTGGTGGTGGTTCAAAATACAACGCTTTTCCTTGTAAACAGTTGTCTTGAAAAATCAGAAGTCCATTTTGTACGTGACATTTACATTTGGCATTTTTCCTAATTAATGGGGCTGATACTTTTCTAGAGGAAATGGGACCACAGTGTTAAAATTCCTATGCTGGGTGGCATTGTTATATCTGAGAGAGTGTTAATGAGGGTGTTAATTTGATTTTGAAATTCATTTATACAAAATAACTGGCTATTTTGAACACATAGTAACCTATTAATTATTTTTGCAAACACAAATATGTCTTGATTTTACAGAAGGATTCAGTGCTGTAATTGGACTGATTATGGTTATTAGAAGGCTCTAGGAAATGATTTATTTGGTTTACAATAGTCACCTTTTTCCTCATAAAAACTATAGTACTTATGGGGTGGAGCTGTGGCTCAGTGGTAGAGCGCTCGCCTAGCATGTGTGAAGCGCTGGGTTGGATCCTCAGCACCACATAAAAATAAATAAATAAAGATATTGTGTCCAACTGCAACTTAAAAAAAAAAAACACTATAGTAACTTAAATTGGAATCTCCCTTATTTGCAGGATCTTCTACAACTGTTGAGAAAAAGGAGAAACCTCTTCCAAGACTTAATATTCATTCTGGATTCTGGATTTTGGCATCCATTGTTGTGACCTATTATGTTGATTTCTTTAAAACCCTTAAAGAAAACTTTCACACTAGTAGGTAAGAAAACTTTTTATCACTTCACAAGTTAAACATCTGTCTTAGTCAGCTTTTTATTCCTGTGACTAAAAGACCTGGGAAGAACAACTTAAAGAACGAAAAAAGTTTTTTTTGGCTCATGGTTTCAAAGGTTCAGTCCATGGTTGACTGACTCCTTAGCTCTGGGCTGAGGTGAGGCAGAACATCATGGTGGAAGGTTGTGGCAGAGGAAAGCTGTCAGCTCAGGGCAGCCAGGAAGTAGAGACTGAGTTCAGCTCACCATAGACAAAATATAAACCCCAGTGACCTTCCAGCCACTCTCTACCTTCCTACAGTTCCTGCCCAGTTAAGCCACATTAGTAAGTTAATCTACTGATTAGGTTCCAGCTCTCATAATCTATGATCATTTCAGCTCTGAAAATTCTTGCATTGTGTCATTGGGGGATACCTCATTTCTAAACCATAACAACATTCTTTTCTAAATTTTCCTGTTTCATTTTGGCAGTTGAATTCATACATTTAATAAGCTCCTAGTCTCTATTGAGCATCATGTTGGAAGTGCTAATGATACAAAGAAGAATAAGAGATGTTGGTCAAAGGGTACAAATTTTCTATTATAAAGTGAACAGGTTGAGTCAGCACAGCATAGTGACCGTGGTTAATCATAGTGTGTTTTATAATTGAAATTTGCTGAAAGAGTAGATCTTAAGTATATCTAGCACATGCATATACACCCTGGTAACTGTGAGGTGATGGTGTGTCAACTAACTTGATTGTAGTAATCATTTCATACATATACACACATTAAATTGTGTTGTGTACTTTGAATATATATAATTTAAATTTGTCAGCTGGGTCAGCTGCACTTTAAATCCCAGCTACTCAGACGGTTGAGACATGAGGATTGCAGGTTCAAGACCAGCCTTGGCAACTTAGTGAGATGCTGTCTCAAAGTAAAAAAAAAAAGGGGCAGAGGATGTAGCTCAGTGGTAGAGTGCCCATGAGTTCAATTCCCAGTACCCCTCAGCCCCCCGCCCCCAAATTTTAAATTTGTTGGTTTTATGTCAGGGAAAAAACTGAAAAGAAAAAACAAAATAAGGGGGCTGGGGTTGTTGCTCAGTGGTAGAGCACTCACCTAGCATATGTGAGGCCTGGGTTCCATCCTTAGCACCACATAAAAATAAATAAATAAAGATATTGTGTCCAATTAAAAAATAAATATTAAAAAAAAGAAAAAGAAAAAACAAAATAAGAGGGTAGTTTCTCCGGGGATGCACAGCAGAGTGGATGAAAACTGGAAACAACTTCAGTGTGCCTTCTCAGCTCTGATGTGTTGTAGGATGAGGAAGGTAGTGAATTTAAGGCTTTAAACCCATTTGGAAAAGAAAGGAGGTAGAAAGAAGGACTGACTGTCTTTGTGAGTGCAAAGTGCAGTAGAACTGGAAGGAACGAGTGGAAACCCATCTCAGGGTGTGTCAGGGAGTAGTTAAGTGGAGGATGTGATGGGGTTAGAGCTATGGCAGAGGTCACCAGTGGGAGAAGTCAGGAGTTTTGTGGCCAGGCCAGGAACTGACATCTCTTAGTGTAATCTCAGGAATTGACATGGAGTGGAAGGTTGTGAAATCACGTCCCGGGGTCCTTCTGAACACTGGGGAATGACTTGAAGGCCCCCAGATGACAGGCAGGGGAGTGGTGTTGCTGAGCATCAGAGCTGGCATTGGAGGGCTGGCTTGCTCAGGAGGTGAAGATCAGTTGTTTGGAAGTACTTATAGGGCTGGAAAGAAGCAGTCATGGTAGGACGCGGTCTCCTTAAGAGGACCAGTGACTACTGGAGGAGGAGGAAGGGAGAGAGGGAGTGGTAGAGAGGAAGTAGTGAGGGGGAGGTAGGCACAGGGGACTCTTTAAACTCTTAGGAGGCGAGAACTTGCTCCTCTCTCCCCATATTTCCATGAGTAGGAACTTTCCCTAAACACTACCATCTTCCTGCCCTTTCATTCCACCTACTCCTTCCTGTGTAGTGTGTGACTTGCCCATTTGGGTTTGAAATAAAGAGTGGATGAATGTAGTAAAGCACTTTCCTCCTTTTGGGAGTTGGCTGCTCCAAAAACACAGGCTTTGGTCTTCTTTTCTGGGCTATGGTTTTATGGAGGCAGCAGTGCAGGAAGAGGTCCCTAGGTTTCCACTGTGGCTAAGACTGTCTGTCACTGTTTCATTATCAGGAAAGGCTTTGTCACTGCTTACCAAAGTGTCCTTCCTGCAGCTTCATCAGCAGTAAAGATGACATTTTGATCTTCAACAACTTGAGTCCTTCCTCTCGGTTGGTTTACAACTTAGGCTGGGAATATAGGGATGGATACTTCAAACGCCACCAGTAGCAGCTGCTCCTTCACTCAGCGGACACTTGAGAGAAGCCAAAGATGCTTTTGGGTGTGGGTGCCAGTGATGAACTACACTTCTGGCCCTCCAGCCACCCATTCCAGGCAGCAGTGGACAGATGAACAGGCCTGTATGCGTGTTGTGTAAGTGTGCACAGGATACACAGGATGCCTAGGAGGGGCCTAGCTGGCCCGACCTCAGAAGGCAGACTTTTTGAGGATTGAGGAGACATGGGAGAACTTCTTTGTTTGCATTCTTAGATTAGGTGTTCTCACTTCTCTAAAGAGATGGCAGGGTGATGAGCTGGGATGTGACTTAGTGGTAGAGTGCGTGCCTAGCATGTTTGAGGCCCTGGGTTTAATCCTCAGCACCACATAAAAGTAAATAAATAAAATGAAGGTATTGTGACCAACTACAACTAAAAAACAAATATTAAAAAAAAAAAGGAAAAGGCAGGGTGAGAAATGACAATACCCATAAAATATTTGGTTGCAACTGCAGCCATTAGTAGAGTATCCTGGACCACAGCTATTATGTGGCAGAGCCAGGACATGGATGTGGGCATCAGGGCTGTGGGAGATGGAGGGAAGTTGAGGTCATCCACCTGTCCTCACCTTCCCATCAGACTTCAGGTTCCCATCATCTTAGGGGAAAGAGACATAAATGCACACCTGGAGGCTGAGGATTTTGCATAGCATTGTGTCTTGGTAGGGATTTGGGTGGGGAGTCAAGCAGCCATGTAATGAAAGGCGAACCTGGGGCAGTGCAGTGGAGTGGCTCAGTCTGGCTGGGCACAATTCAGGAGCCACTTGTCAAAGGAAACGAGCTTTATTTTTAGAACACACAGGGCACCACACAGCTCTTCAGGAAAACCCTCAGAGCCCAACTGCCACCACCGGCTTCCCGCAAGCCTCTCCAGCTCCCCCACTCCTTCTGCTCTTGAAGCAGATTGGCTGGGTCGGGTGGGTGGAGCCAAAAAAAGTCCCCCAATGAGCAGCTCCGTGGTCTGAAAGGGCCGGGAAATAGCCCAATGAGCAACACCACAGAGGAGCCAATCAGTTGGCAGCTAGAAGTTTGCTGGGGCGCTGTGAGCCAATCATCAGCTGGCAGCTGGAGGTTTGCTGGGGCCCCTTCAGCTGTGGCTCTCAACAGTGGAGTTCTGCTTTTCCTCACCGGCGGGTTCCTTGACACCTGAGCTGACCTCTTTTCCCCCTGCTCCAGCCTTAGTTCAGATCAAGGCATTAGGATTCTTCGGGTTTGCATAGGGCTGAAAGATTGTATGTTCAAACTTGAGAGAGATGGGATATCAAACCAAACAAATTATCACAATGCTTTGGAAATTGGGTTTTTTTTTGTTGTTGTTGTTGTTGTTGTTTTAACCATGCTTGTGTTTGTCAAAATTAGCTGTGGAGTTAGAAGAAAACCTGACTAAAACTAAAATCCCAGATATTTTGGACTTTACTCAGACCCAGAATTTTGGAAACTGGGGACAAGACCACTTCTTTTGCAATGCAGAGGTAACTGATGTACAGCCCAGAATGAGGACCACTGGCTTTCAGTATTAGATTTTGTTTAGGAAGTTTTAAAAATCTCCTTGTTTTTTTTTAGCCATATCTGGAGAGAGCAGCCACTCGTGGAGTGACTGTGAAACAGATAAAGGACTCCGAGGAAGCAAGGAGATGACCACTAAGCCTGGAGCTCCCTAGCCCTTCTTGTATCGTTGCCCCATGTGGAGACTTTTCAAGATATTTTTTCCTGATTGTACCTCTACCCTGTAGAGTTTCAGTACACAGATAAAGTGATAGTTATTTATGTGCTGTATGTGTAGCTCTGCTTCGTTATATAGTCGGGTCAGATTTCTTCACTGTGGTGGTATCACCCTTTGAGATGTACACTCCAGCAGGAGAGACGTCGTCAAGGACCCTGAAGGGGAACATGGAAGTGTTTTTCTCACAGACAAGAAGAGTGGAATGATAATAATCACCACTGGGGGTTAGGTGTGCAAGGAGTCTGTCTTTAACTCTTGGCTGCTTTGTGAGTTAAGTGTGGTCTGTATGCCTGCAGCTCACTGAGGATAGTAGTTTTGGCCTGAGTCACACACTCGTCATGCTGGATCTGATTCAAACCCAGACAGGCAGATTTCAAAGTGTACTCAGAAACCCTGCACTGGACTGCCAGTGCAGATTCTGAATCCCAGAAATGGGCCATCATGAAAGGCCTTGATGGAGCCTGGAATCTTCCATTGCGGAAGCCTACCCAGTGGTTGAACCACTGTAGCTGTCTGCTCTCCCTTGTCAACATGGCTTGCCAGTCTTCCACATACACAGGCAAAGCATAGTGGGGGTTTGGATTCAACTGGGAGGTTGAGAAAGGGATTTCTTTCTCTAAATCTGGCCTCCTCTTATGACCAGGGACTGGAAGGAAGGGCTGTCAAGGCTGCCTCACACAGGCTGTCAGGTCTTAGGTGGAATTGACAGGAAGCAAAACTACACTCCCTTGGGAGAGAATAGAAGTTATTCTGAGATAGGTGTCTTAGTCTGTTTTGTGTGGCTGTAACAAAATACCTGAGGCTGCGTGATGTATACAGAAAAGAAGTTTATTTGGCTGACAGTTCTGGGCACTGGAGACTCCAAGTAGCATCGCACCCCATGTCTGTGTCACAGCATGTTGGAGAAGTCGAAGGGGAAGTGGGTGTCTGCAAAAGATTGAGTGTAAGAGATGAACCAATAAGAGGTGCCAGGCTTTAGAGCAACATGCTCTGTAGGTAACCTGTCTCATCCTGAGGGCAAGAACTTACTTTTGCAAGAAAATCATTAATCCCTGGGCAGTCATGACTCAGCCACCTCCTAAGAGAGTGACCAAGATTCTAGCACATGACCCTTTGGGGACACACTCAGACCATGCCCAAACCATTCATTGCAGAAAGCCTTTTTTTCCCCTAGTACTGGTGATTGAACCCAGGGTGTTCTACCACTGAGCTACATCCCCAGCCCTTTTTTTTATTTTGAGGAGATGGTCTTGCTAAATTGCCCAGGGTGGCCTCAAATTATGATCCCTCTACCTCATACATATGAATGCATATGTGTGAAGCTTCACTCTTTAACCCTTCCATGAGTCACGTGTCTCATTTCTCACCCCGTCTCCCAGTGGATTGACGTATTCAAATGCTGAGATTGTGGAATGGAAGACCTCTCTGCACCCTTCTCTGGTTGATGTTCTAGAAACCGACGTTTAGACTATTAGCGAAGCTGTTAAGACGCCTGCTGATTGGCTGAGTGTCGGCAGCCCTTGCCTTGTTTTTCTCCCCCAGCTGGTTTCTCTCTGGTGGGACCTTGTTGCTTGTCAGCTTGTCGATTGCATTTTACTGCATAGTCTACCTGGAGTGGTACCGTGGAATTGAAGAGTATGATGTCAAGTATCCATCGTTGATACCTGTTACAACTGTGAGTTTTATTGCAGCAGGAATTTGGTAAGTTAACTTTGAAATGATGAATATAAGTGAAAAACAGTTTCTTTTGATTGGATAATGATGTGTGTGGTCCAAAACTGAAAAGAAGAACCAGGGTTTAATAGAAAATAGTCCCTCGGTCATTCCTGTGCTTCAGGCTCCCTTGTCTTTAGCATCTCTTTCCTTCTTTATGTACCTAGTTATTTCAAACAGAAATGGTGACGTTATGTACACATTCTCCATTTTGTTTTTTAAATCTTATTCATTGTGATGTACAATACATTAAAAAAGTAGAAAAAACAGACATACAGCTGAACAAATTAATCACACAACAGCACTGCTGTCAGCCACACCCAGATGAAGAAAGAGAACCCAGCCCACATCCTGGCCACTGCTTCCTGCCCCTCTCAGTCACTGCATCTTCCTGCCACAGATGAGCACTCTCCCCGCCTTCATGGAGATCACTTATTTTTGCACACTTTTGCAGATGCAGGGGATTGAACCCAGGGCTTTGCACATGCTATACAAGCGCTCAGCCACTGAGCCACATCTCTAGCTCTTTTAAAAAATTTTAAAGCAGGGTCTTGATAAGTTGCCGAGACTGATCTTGAACTTACAACCTTCCTCCTTTAATCTCAAGTAACTGTGATTACAGGTGTGTACTACAATGTCTGGCTTAAATACTCAAGTTTTTAAAATTTATATAAATGAATTCGTATAGTATGTACTTTTTTACATTTGGCTACATATGTGCAGCATTTTATATATATATACACATATATATAGTTCATACTTACTGTCGCTGATAACAGTAGTTAATTTTTATTGCTGTGCAATGTTCTATTGTATAATCAAATCCTAGTTGATTTATTCCATGTTGACAGCATTGGGATTGTTTCCAATTTGTGGTGGTTATGAAGGATGCTGTGAGCAACGTTCTTTTCTGTTTTTCTTGGGGCACATGTGCATAGGTTATATATATATATGTGTACACACAGACACACACACACACACACACGTGAAATTGTTGGGCCATAGGGTATATATTCTTCCAACTTTAGTGAAGAGTGCCAAACTGTTGTCCAAAGTGATGTACAGTCACCCTCTGTTCTGTAGGTTCTGAATCTACATCTTCAGCCTACTTCAAACTGGAAAACAGTGTTGTCTACTGAATATATACAGAGTTCTTTTCTTGTCATTATTCCCTAAACAAAAGTATAATAACTATGTATATAGCATTTACATCGTGTTAGATATTCTGAGATATGATCTAAGGTATATGAGAGGTTGTGTTTGGTTGTATGTGAATACTATACGATTTAATACAAAGGACTTGAGTACCTGGAGGTCTTCAACAAATTCTCTACAGATAACTGAGGAACAACTAAACTTTTTTCCCTATTAGCAGGCACCACACAGTTTGGATTTCTTCCATAGTGATACACATAGGTACATTGAATTGTTTTACCTGGTTATGTGGTTTCCACAATATGGTCAAAAAGCCTCTCCTTAGTGGTCACTACTGTTGCACTTAGTTATTTTTATTTTTAACTCCACAGAGAATATCCTTCTTTATCAGTTAATAGGTACTCAGTGAAAAGCAGTTTTTTTCCCCGTTTAAAAAAGGAATATTTGACCACTGAAGAAAAATCTAGAAATTACAGGAAACCATAATGAAATATATTTCATAATCCTGCCAGTCAGGGAGAAAACTGCTCTTCATGTGTGTTTTAGAGTTCTTCAGTTTTCCTCTATATATTAATTGAATTCTGATTTTGGAAAAGTCAAACACCTTTGTACATATTCAGTTTAAGTCTTATTTCTATGGCTTGATTTCAGTTGCAGTTTAAGACTCTTTGGCTTTGTGGTGTGGCAGTTATTAACCCTTAGGTTATGTGGGCATTCCAGGGTGTTATTTTACTTTTTATCTTATAGCTAAGAGCATCCCAAAAATAATGTTAAATTACTTTTTAGGCCAGTGGGAGTATGGTTATTTAAAATTCATAATTATCAAAATATTTAATAATAAAACCAGTAACTCTGAAAAACTCATTGATTTGTATATAGTTTTCCTTATTAGCTTTTGCTCTTATAAATTCAGTTACTAAAAATCATTTACACTTAGAAAATGTTTCATTTTTTCTTTGGTGAAGATTTGATAGCCTCTTATAAATGGTTACTTTTTTCATTCTGCTTTTAAGAGAAAGTACTTTTGTCTTTTTTACTCTGATCTTTTGGTAATGTGTGAGATCATAAAGCAGGCCACAGCCAGTTTAATTCATGGTCTCTTGCAGACACCAGCCTTAAGGGACATTAAGTCTCTGAGGGGCTGTGCCAGCTGCCACTGGAGGCCTTTAGATTCTAGGTCTGAGTACTTCTCCAAGGCCTCGTGCTGCTCTGTAAGCATGTGTAGGGTTTCCCTTCCTAGCCCTGGCCTATTTGTGGATGTGGAGATGTGAAGAGTGTGGAAAGTTGCTGGCTGGATGAGTGCCCTCAGGCTGAGCTCTTTAACTCCCAATTCTTGGGTAAAAGATGTTTGTATAGATGATAATTATGGTTTTTAACTCTTTATTTTTTGATCCCTTTCAGCTTCAACATTGCTTTATGGAATGTATGGTCATTTTTCACTCCATTTTTATTATTTACCCAGTTCATGGGGGTTGTAATGTTCATCTCACTCCTTGGATGACTTCAGAAGGTAAGCTAGCTGGAATATCTTGTTTTTAATCATGAACTTGTGAACATGTCTCTCAAGACAGTTTTCAGTGGACTCTGCTGTAGTAGATTACTTGAGAGTGACTCCAGTCATGTGTGTGCCAGAGTTTTTTGCCACTGTTCTCTGAGATGAAAGGGACCGAGTCCTCTTTGCTTTTGTAAAATTTAGGTCTAAGTGACGGCTTTTAGAGAAGGCACCTGCTTTTCAAAGACTTCATAAGGATAGTATTTGCATCTTCCAAAATAAATTAGTTCACATGTCACACCATTTCATATTGAAGAAATTTTATAAAGAAGAAATGTAATAATCAATCTCCTTGTTGCCAGTCTGAAAATATTGCTAGTGCCACTTGACTAGTGAGGTAAATAGTGTCTCCCAGATGTGCTGTGTCATGGGACCAGTGGGTGTCTCATCGAGGGAGTGACCAGTCATAGGCCTTACCTCAAGCAGCTCAGGGCTTCTGAGTCATTCTCACACCACAGTGCATCCTTTCCTCTGACCCAACTCCCACCCTCTGCAGCCTTCAGGTCTTCAGTGGCTGTTTGATTTTGAGTTCTCCAGATGCTGGGGAACTTTTGACTTCCTGCTAATGTGGTTTGTGATTGGCCATGGAGACCCAGGGCTGTTGCAGGCATATAGATTTGAATTGCGCTTCTAATGTTAAATTCATGAACTTAAGTTGTTTTATTGGGACTCAATGCTGGTTTTCTTTCAGATTTAAGGACATGGAAGTTTGAAGTGAATAGTTAAATGTCCAGCTTGTTGGAAGCCTTGCCAGCGGATGATGGGAATGCTGCAGTGTGTCCTCCTTCCTGCCAAGCAGGTGGGCTGCTGGGAAAAGCTGTAACTTGGTAGTTCTGTTGTTGAAATCAGAATAAATCACCTTTCACTTGCATATTATCCAATTCTAGTTGTGACTGGATTTTTCACAAACCTATGTTATTGGAAAATAACTATTTTGCAATGTTAATCTGTTTGACTCTTTGGCAAAAGTAATTTCTTTAATGTGTTCCCAGTATTTTAAATAAACTCTCCTGCATGTAAGGGACAGCAGTTCATTGTATCAAGTGACTAGAATTATCTTGTCATGTGCCTTTAAGGCAACTCTAGTAATTACCATATAATTCATTTTTATAATAATTTTATTGGGTGGCAGGAACAGATGGAAGTATTTTGTGTTTTCCCATCACTTTGGATTTTACCATTATATAAATTTTGGGGGGATTTTAGCGTTTTTTTACATGAATTTTTAATCATTTTTAAGTATGTATAATTTTTCCTCTACTACTTAAATAAAATATTTTTATAACTTTTTTTGTGCATTTTTATTGAGAGCCACAGCCAGTCAGAATGATGCCTGGCATTTGCCAGAGGGAATGTTTGAAAGGTGACACCAGCGAACCATTGAGATGATGATTTGAGTTAAACTATATATAATTGCTGTGATGCTGGATTGATTGTATTGTATATTTGACCTTTACTGTCGGGCAATGGGGCGGCTCTTGCTGCCTCGGTCGCCCGCTACTTTGGAGTTCTCGCGGGGATTCCCGGAGAGTTCCCATTGGTTGGGGAAGTGCCGGAGGAGGGATTTCCGGTGTGGGGTGTTTCTGGAAGGGCCGCGTGGGTGGTGTTGGTGGAAGAGCGCGCGTGCAGTGCCGGACAGAGTTGAAATAAAGTAGTTGCTGTTTGAACCTACAAGGCTTTGTGGTGGCTCAGTTATTCATGCCCAGCCAGACTGCGGCATTTGGTGGTCTGTGCTGGAACGCCTGAAGCTCGGAGGTAAGTGAAATTGCTCTCCCCTGAGGGAAGGCAAGAGAATGGGTGACCTTTTCAAAAAACAATGTGTTCTTGTTTTGATTTTTTTTTTGTTTTTGTTTCAAGGTGCCTATCCCTAGAACTTTCTCAGGCAAACTGGGAAAAATGGTTGGCTCAAGGTTTGAAGTTGTTTGGCCCTGAGGAAGAGATAGAGAGAGACCACGAATATACATATCAAAAAAAACAGGAAAATTGATACAACAATTTTTTGTTCCGTTTTTGTTTCATTTTGCTTCGGTTTTGTTTTGAGTTATCTGTTTGAGTTGCGTTATCCTTGTAGCAGAAATATGGGATCAGAAATTAGCAAAAAACAAACCGAAAGAATGTTAAAAAAATTGTTAGAGGAAGGAGGCACCCCAGTAAAACCAAAACCAGTCAGGGCATGTGTTGATACAATACAAAAATGTAGCCCATGGCTTTTAAAGGAGGAGTTGTTGAATATATCACAATAGGACCATCATGGTGAAGATTTAAGGGACAGGGAAAAGAAAAACCCAGGAACTCTGCCAGTTGGCACATTGCCATTGTGGATGATGATACGATTTTGTTTGCCTTGTCCAAAGATTTCAGTTCAGATTATGGTAGAAGACATATTAGATCAGGAAAAAAAGGAGGCCTCTTGAGATAGTCAGAAAGGGGAAGAAAGTTTAGAGCAGAAAAAGCGATCAGGGGAAAAGTTACAACAGGAGACTGCTACTAACACCTTTCTATCACCAGAGGGCGTAAGTGTCCAACCAACAGCGCCTATGGAGACAACATATGCTGAGTGGCCCTCAACCCCCGTAGTTGATAGATGGGATCCTGACACAGGACCTCAAAGATTAGCATGACCTGTATTTGAGCAGACAGGAGAGCAGCGAATTCACCATACATTAGATTTCAAAACAGTGAAGCAGCTAAAAGAGGCTGTAACAACCTATGGTCCCCAAGCACCCTTCACTGTAAGTATGGTCGAATCCATTACCAACTTGGACATGACTCCAGCAGATTGGGATAGCATGTGTAAAGCTGTGCTAAATAGAGGGCAATATTTGTTATGGAAGGTTGCCAATCAGGAATTTCGCACGGAGACGGCTAGGCGGAATGCAGCAGCCGGTTATCCTCAGAAATCTAAATGTGTTGTTAGGACAGGGACCTTATGAGGGTCAGCGGCAACAAATTGAATATGGTCCTGCTATATATTCACAAATTGCTGCAGATGCGGTTAGGGCATGGAAGACTTTACAAGGACATGGAGATTTACAAGGACAATTATCTAAGATAATACAAGGAGCTAATGAACCTTATGCTGAATTTGTAGATGGACTTATTCAAACAGCTACCAGAGTTTTGGGGGATACGAAACAAGCAATGGCATTAATTAAACAGCTAGCCTTTGAGCAAGCAAATCGTTGGTGCAAGGAAGCCATTAGACCATGGAAACATAAAATTAAACACATATATTAAATTATGTAGAGACATTAATGAACAAGGGCAAGTCTTGGCAGCTACAGTAAAACAGGCTTTAGATGCCAGGCCAAAAACATGCTACAATTGCAAATAAACAGGACATTTTAAAAGGAATTGCCCCATAGGAGGAGGGTTTAACAAAACTAGGTATCAAAGGGGTAGAATACCAGGTATTTGCCCACGATGCCGTAGAGGGAGACATTGGGCTAATGAATGCCGGTCTCAATCCACCATAGAGGGTACTCCATTATCAAAAAACAGACAAGGACCAGGTGTTTACCCACGATATCGTGGAGAAAGGCATCAGGCTCCATTGCCAAAAAACGGACAAGGGGGCCCAATGCTCCAGGGCCCACGACCACAAATATATGGGGCAATGGAGGAACCCAGCAACACCATCAGGGTAGTGCCCAGGACACATTATCCATTAGATCCCTCATCAGACAAACCAGAGGGAGTGCAAGGTTGGACATCTGCGCCTCCGCCAGAGCAGTACTAACTCCAGAGATGGGAGTTCAAATCATTCCCACTGGAGTAAAAGGACCTCTTCCCCAAGGAACAGTAGGCTTATTATTGGGACGCAGTTCTTTTACACTAAAGGGACTTATGATAAGTCCTGGGTAATTGATCCCGATTATGAAGGTGAAATAAAAATTATAGCTAGTTCTCCAAGAGGTATATCAGTAATTTCACCAGGAGATAGAATAGCACAGTTATTAATACCCAGCCTGCATGATAAATTTTCCAGTCGTATTGTAAAAAGAGGTTCCAGGGGATTAGGCTCCACAGGTGTAGGTTGGGCTATGCTGTCTTTAAATTTAGATTCTCGCCCAATGCTAAAACTAAATATTCAAGGACATGAATTTAATGGACTACTGGACACAGGTGCAGACCTTAGCATCATATCGTCAAGAATGGCTGAAACATTGGCCATTACAATAGGCCACTCAAACACTTCGAGGCCTTGGAGTAGCAACTAATCCCCATAGAAGTGCAATGGTATTAGATTGGAAGGATCCTGAAGGATGTGAAGGAACTATACAGCCATATGTATTGGATCATCTTCCTATAAATTTATGGGGACGAGATGTCCTAGATCAATTAGGTTTGACATTAACAAATAACATCAATCCAAATGTGCCCACTATTAGGGCTAGACAAGGTTTTAGGAAAGAAAAAAGATTAGGAGAACAAGAACAAGGTATAGCAGCACCAATTCAAATAGATCAAGGAATAGATAGACATTGATTGGGTTTTCAGAAAGGACCACTGAGACAATAAAAATTACTTGGAAATCAGAAAGACCAGTGTGGGTTCCTCAGTGGCCCCTGACTAAAGAAAAGATATAAGCAGCCCATGACCTGGTCAAACAACAATTAGCAGAGGGACATATACAACCTTCCGTATCTCCCCATAATACTCCCATTTTTGTCATCAAAAAGAAATCTGGTAAATGGAGATTATTGCAAGATTTAAGAGCCATTAATAATGAGATGGTTATTATGGGACCTGCTCAATCGGGGATTCCCCAATTGTCTGCTTTTCCAAATACCTGGTATGTTTTACCTATAGATATTAAAGATTTTTTTTTCAATTCCAATTCATCCTGAGGATAGTCCACATTTTGCATTTACTGTCCCTGCACTGAATCATGAAGGTCCTGATCAGAGATATGAATGGAAAGTACTCCCTCAAGGGATGGCTAACAGCCCAACTATGTGTCAAATTTATGTTAACAAAGCAATCCAGCCACTTAGAAATCAAAATCCTGAACTACAAATATTTCACTATATGGATGATGTATTATTAGCACACAAAGATAAAAACACATTGCTAGAATGTTATGTCACACACACTTATTAAAAAAATTATAATCTAGAGATAGCAATAGATAAAGTACAATTAAATTTTCCAATTAATTATTTAGGAGTTCTATTATCCTCAACCATGGTCCGTCCACCGAAAATTCAAATACGAGTAGATCAACTCAAATCACTTAACGACTTTCAAAAGTTATTAGGAGACATAAATTGGATAAGGCCTTATCCAGGCATACCAACAGGAGAGTTAGGACCTTTATTTGATATCCTAAAAGGTCCATCAGATCCAAATTCACCCCGCATATTAACACCTGAAGCAAGAAAGGCATTAAAAATTATTGAAACATATGTGGAAAATATGCATTTGGATAGAATTGATATAAGTTTGCCTTTATTATTTATTGTACTACCAACAAAAAATATTCCTACAGGAGTTTTTTGGCAAGAAGGCCCATTATTATGGATACATTTATCTTATTCTCCTAACACTATTCTTACTAGGTATCCTGAGGCTGTAGGTCAATTAATACTCAAAGGAATAAAAGCAGCAAAGGGAGTGTTTGGAATTTCTCCCAATAAAATTATTACTCCATATACTATGGATCAAATTGATGAGTTAGCTAATGAGTTAAATACTTGGGCAATAATCATGTGCAAATCTAATGTTTCATTTGATAATCACTTACCATCTAATCCTTTATTGTCTTTTTGGTCTTCGCATCCTGTAGTTTTTCCAAAATGACAAGAAAAACACCTATCATGAATGCTCCAAATATATTCACTGATGGGTCAAATAATGGTACAGCAGCAGTAGTTTCCCCTGATCAAACTTTTACATTTTTAGTACCCAAACAATCAGCTCAAAAGGTAGAGCTTAATGCAGTATTACAAGCTTTTGTGATGTTTAAAGATTCTGTATTTAATTTATTTTCTGATAGTCAGTATAGTTAATGCTATAGTATCCCTTGAAGATGCTGGTAGGATTTCTTCTTCCTCTACTGTTTTCTCTTTGTTTTCCACTATACAAAGTCTAATCTGGGACAGAAAAGATCCATTCTTTATAGGACATATCAGGGCACATACAGGATTGCCTGGAGCCCTTAGTTTGGGCAATGATTTAGCAGATAAAACTACACATGACATACATATTTTCTCTACACTAGAAGAAGCTATAAATTTTCATAAAAGGTTCCATGTCAATGCTAATACTTTACAAAAGCGTTTTAAAA